AGAGAGAGAGAGAGAGAGAGAGAGAGAGAGAGAGAGAGAGAGAGAGAGAGAGAGAGAGAGAGAGAGAGAGAGAGAGAGAGAGAGAGAGAGGCGGAAACAGTGAACAGAAAGTAGCACATGCACTCAAGCTTGGATAACATTCCCAGTTGTCGATGCAGTTGGCTGGTTCTGCAAGTGCGGCATAAGGAGGCAGAAGCAGGCATATGCCTCAAGCATATGCTGCAAGGATACATCATATATGTCGTTACACTTACCCTCGAGCTGAAACCAAGGAAGGTCGCATTCCAGGTGGTGATGAGGCCAAGGAGAACCTGGCACCGTGCCACATGCAAAAAAAGCAACAAAAGATAGCAGGTTACCTTGTCCATCTTTTTCAGAAACAAACTGTTTCCATTTTTTGCAGCAACAGAATCCCATTCACGGTGCCTTGGAAAATTGTCAAAGCCTTCTTGTTTCTATGTGTGTGATCTGGCGGCCACTTACTGGAATATTTTCATCAAATGGAGCATCGCGGAAACACGTGTCCATGTCCCATGCCCCCTGAAGAAACCTGGCAATGACAACCGACGAACAAGAAGCCGGACAAAGACACAGAAAAAGACGCGGCAGTGACACAAGTTCGTTAGCACAACTGATAAGCACTTAACCGGGTTAACCATAATACAAAAGAGATATGTTCAAGTGTGTTGTCTAAGCAGTCGTGAAAACACCGGCACACTACCGTCTTCACCTGAATAGATTGCCCAGTCATAATAGCTGCATTTGGGACAACTTTCAGTCTAGGTACAGCACAAATGACCGGGCATTCTATTCTGGTGAAGATGGTAGAACTGAGACGGGTTATGATTGTAGCAGTCAGGTCAACATCAATCAATTTTTTCAGTCCAGCACAGTGTTGCATACCCCAACGGTCGGCGGCCCTTGACTGGTTGGCTGCCGACCCGCCGACCAGTCGGCTGGTTGGCACCTTCCGATCGGGGGTTGTCAGCAACCGCACAAAAAAAATAATAATAATCAGGGTTACCTGACCGAACGTTCGGGGGCCCCCGGGCTGGCCCCCGAACGTTCGGGCGTTCGAGGTCCCGTTCGGGGGCCGAACACCTCCAGGTTCGGCCCCCGCCAAAAAACATTTCGGGGCCTAAAAATAAGTTTTTTTTTCTGAATTTTTTTTTGTGAGTTCTCTATGATGTAACCTACACGCCTATAAATTTTGAAGTCATTCTGCTAAGCCAAAAAAACATTAAAAATCGTCAAAGATGGGGGTGTCAAAACGTGCTCGCCCACTCACTACTTTGTTTTTTTTCACTTTTTTTTTTTTTT